AAAGAAGAAGAAAAAGAAGAACAAGAACAAGACAACAAGAAGAAACAGAACAAGATGAAAAAAAAATGGGAAAAAAGACACGAGTTACAAGTATAAGAATAGAAAAGAAAAGAAAAGCTGAAAACGCTATTTATTAGTGGACCATCGACTTTCTTTTGTCGTCTCTTTTTTTTTGTCACTGTTTTATATTACATCGACTTACTACTTCTATTGTTGATGGAATTGTTCATCATCGTCATTGATAGAATGCATTTATATGCGTCACTGAACCAACATAATGGATTGAGCGCAAGATAGAAAAGGAAATTATACTGTCCCTTATGATTTAACACTTATATAGCTGTAATTCATTTTATTTAAAGCATTCTCTCATCATCACTCGTTTCCTTGATTTTCCATTACGTTTTCATGATTACAATTACGGACAACAATTCAATGATGACGATATGGAAAAACAAGCATATCATAAAAGCTTAATCCGTGGTCGATGTCTATTGTCATGTGTAATGTTCCTAATCAGAAACTCGTCCCGAAAATGTCGCACAAGATATGTTTGTGAATTCTTTTTTTTTTTTTCTTTTGCTTCTTCTTTTTTTTGGAAAGATTACTCTGTGTAACATCTATTCATTCACAAGTAACCTATGTGAAATGAAGGATAGTTGTACTAATCGTCGCTCGAACGATCAATCATCATTGACTTTGTGTAACTGTAACTGAATCAGATGTGATGGCAGAACATATCTGTTATTTTTTTTTTACGAATGATTACTTTTCCAATACGAGTAACAGCTGCTGCCCATATGATTAAAGTTTGTCATCAAAATGGAAACAAAATAGACAAAAAATAAAACGGATATTTGAAGGACAAATGTCGGTTTTTCTATTCAATAAATTATTAAAATTATTCATGGATTTAAAAAAAAAAAAAAAAATCTCTCAGATAGTCGTATGACTTCTCACAAAGTCTATATTAACTGGTAAGTCTGTCGTTGATGTTGATGCTGTTTTAGCTCGTGAGGCAGTAATAGCTTCTTTTGCCCATGGATCATAATGAACAACAATCACTGGTCGATTTCGTTCTTCATAAATACTTCTTATATGTTGACGTAATCGAGAAAATGGTACTGCTGTATCAGGTGCAATTAAAAATGTTTGTCGTAATAGATAATAATCACGAAAATTTGGTTGTTCACGACGCCAACTTTGTAAGATATAAGCAGGAGGTTGTTGTTCGATTTGTTGTCGAATTGTTGGTGGTGAAACAACGGCTGCTACGGCCATGTGAATAAAGTAAAGAAATGCTTTATGTGAATGAAAATGAATGACTGCGCGTGTTTGAGAGATGGCTTCTTTAATTTTCAGAACGAGAAAGATTGTTTGTATTGTAAGAAAAGAATGAGAGAAAAAAAAATCAAAACTATTTTTTGTTTTGTTTGAAAGATGAAAAGTTCAAGTGAAACTTGACGTAATATTATTTAGTGCTAAACCATACCAAAAAGAAAATAAAATTTTCTTCTCTTATTCATTTATTTAAGAATTTCTTTTTCCTTTTTTCATTTTATTATACAATACTCCATTCTATCGATGAAGATTCAATTCAAAATGTTATTATTTCAATAGACCAATACACATTTTCATATTTCGATTCAATTCAATTATACGGAGATGATTATAGTTTATGTTAATTTTTTTTCTTCTAATAATTATATATTTTTTTGCGTAGAAAACGAACAATTGGCTTGATTACGTAGTTTTTTTCAATATATAAAAAATCATGTTCCTCTAATGTTCTTTTCCGTTATTCTTTGAGTACACAAACATCGAGGCCAATATTATCTTAGGGTACATACAGGGTTGCTTCCTTATATTTACATAGTATACTTCGAACATGAACGAAAAAAGACTTACAACATACAATTGTTTTTTTTTTAATATTATAATAAGATTGTTTCTTGAAAGTCATCATTGAATTTATAAAGAATTGCGTAGATAAATATAAAAAAAAAATGATATTTATAATATAAATTCAAATATCGAGGAAACAGATGTTTCTTAACTTATTCTGACATTATGTTTTTGTTAGATAAATTATGTCTTCTAATTGATATAGTACTATTATGAAAAAAGAAATGTATGTATGAAGTTATAAGAACAGAACAACAAACACATTAAATTATTTAACCTGATATATACTCTATGACGACAATTATAAAAGTTTCCTGATAATAAACCTAGCTAATGGAAAATTTAGCATAATAGATAGAAAGTATTCTTGATAACAAAGAAAAGAGGAAAACGAGACGTCTGAAGGGTTTTTCGTCGCCGGATGATTGACATTACTATGCCGTACAACGATATAAAAAAAGAAATTATTTCCTTTTTTTTTCCACAATAGTTCTGATAATTTTTGCATTGGAATGAATATAACAATCTATATTTCTATTTCGCTTGATTTAACAAAGGTGTTTGACAATCACACCATAGAAATTTATGTATTTCATAAATTTTTATACGTCATAAGATCGACTATGTTGACTCAAAAAATAAAGTAAAAAGTACATCACATAGATATCTTAAATCAAACAAACAACTTTATTTTTCTTGTTAAGCCATAAAAATTCGAATTGTGTTTTATAAAAAAACAGAACAGCAGAATTATGAGAGTATAGATTTTAGACCTTTTCGTTATTATGGAAAACAAAAACAAAAACAAAAATTCATTTAAATTGATGAAACATTCATAAATTATATTATATAAGTTCTAGAGACTTTTCTTTTTAAATTCAATAATTTCAGTTAATATATTTTATTAATTTATCAAGAAGGAAAATTTTTTCTAAATGTAAATAATTCTTGTCTAGATATTCTTTCAAGCAATCAATGATAAATGAGCAATATCTGTACCACTATATAGAAATATAATTACACACTAGTTTTCTTTTAAGCAATGTGCAATTCAATATTCTATCTAACCATTAATGATAAACACATGTATGTTGCTGTACTGTTTCTTATAATGAAATACTTGAAAAACCTAGAACGTACGATTTCAAGGTATTCATAACTGGAAACGTGAGATTGAATGGTAACTAAAGAAGAATATGAACTTAATAGTTAGCAAAAAACAATAGCGACAATATGTCTATCATGATGTTCATAATTTTAAGACTCTCTCTCTCACTCTGCTCAATATCTCAGAATATTATTTTCTTCTTCATTCTATTTAATTCATCTTGTTATTTTGTTTGTTTTTGTCCTTATTGAACTTTAGGTTAAATTTTATTCATGAAGCATAGAATCTACGTAATTATTTATGCCCTGAGGCTAACGGATTCTTTTTAAGTATATTTTTGAACCACAATATAGGAAAACTTCTTTCCTATGATGTACGATGAAATGAACTCACGCAAACATCCAGTATTTTATCGTAGTATAAATAATAATTCTACTCTTTGACTTTAAATATTTCACCATATTCTCTTAGTTTGTTTTCAATGTTTTAATTAAAAATGATTAAAACATAATTGATACTGTCTTATTAAGAAAAAAGATTTCCAAACTTCTTCACTTTCAGTCAGAATTGAACAAGTCAAGTCAAAAAGCATATATATGTATCGAGAATTTTTATGCACTTTATTTTTTATTCCTACTCAAGTCAAACTTTCTTTCTCATTTGCTTGACATGCACAAATCTCAAAATGTGTCCATATCATATGAATTTCTTTCCATAGATAGGCACTTGAATGCTTGCATGTGTTATGTATAGACTTCATGAAAACCATATGGATGAGTGTGCTTAAAACGATTAGTTGGAATAAAATAAGCATATCTTTTCTGATCATGATGAAATCATATTCCTTGCCTTAAAGGATGTCTGGATCTAATTATCTATGTAAACTCTCATTCTCTTCTACTTGCTACAGTCTTTTTTATACAAAATCAAATCATTTTAAACATCAAACTGAAAAAAAGAAGCCGGAAAGTTCCACAAGCCACAGAAAATTTCGAGTGATAAATCGCAGCTTTGATCATCTTGAAGCTTTAGATTTTTTGTTTTATTTTTTTCTGAACAAGCAACTTTTGTGCATTGTTTAATATATTGAATCAATTGTTTCTTATTGTGACCTAGTATTCAACTATGAAATTTAGTGTCAAATTAAGAAAAAATGCAATTGATCAAAAAGTTAATTCGACTCTAAGAGATTATTTATCTATAATCTGCCAATCCTGCAATATCTCATTTTAATCAGTGACAGATATCATAGTAATATCCAAGGACCACAGATGATTATGAAAGATGTTGACGATATCCTTATTTCTCTTTCCAAAAAATCTATTACACTTTCTCGCATTGTTTGGAATAGACTGCCATACAGAAATTATTTTTTATAGTGAATACCAAACCTATTTCTTTCTCGGTCAATAATTCATGATCATTATTCTAAAAACAAAAACCAACTATAGTATTCATCTTTTTATTGATACTTACTGATACATTATCAACGTTAAATAGTTGATAGCTACTGACATTTACATCGAGAGAATGGCTAAAACATTAGACAGAAACTTTTCTAATATTCAAGTACTTGAAGTCACCAAAAGGCATCAATTCTTGCTTCAAGATGTATCCATATCATATGACTGACTCTCTTGTCCAAAATATTCAAGTTCTTCATGCACATGAAAAAACAAATCCCTGGCTTGGATACAAGACTGACAGACATTTTCCTATAAGTAAATGACCTTTTTCAGCTACTTTATTATAAACTCATTATTCATTTGTAAAGAATGACAGCTTTGGTATTTTGATCTTTCCAGGAAGAATAGAACATTTAGAAATATTATAATAAAAACATTTTTTGTTTTTTGTTTTTTTCTTTTATTATGAATTTAACAAACAAAAAAAAAATAATCGATAGACGTCATTTCATATAAAAAATAACTTTGTTTTTATGCGAAGTACATATTTACAAAAAAAAAAGAAGAAAAGTTTCTTTTATCTATTTAATAAATGTTGTAAGATGACGAATAATATTATGTAATAAATTTTTCATTGATATACGATTGATTAAATGTTGAAAAAAGATTTTATCTAAATTAATTTGAATTATTTTTTCTTGAATATTTGATAATAACATAAGAAGTTCAGCAAAACGACGAAATTTTGAATTTTTTGTATATTCATTCAACATAAATAAAGCATCTTTATGATATTTATCAATCTTTAAATGATCATGAAGTTCATAATGTTTTGCTAAATTATAAGAAAATAATTAATTATAATTTAAATAAATTATTTAACTTACAATTATTAAAAATAACTATTAATTTAAGAAGTGTATATTCTGTTTGATCAATCGAATGAATAATAAATTCTTTAATTATTGATTGAAATAATAGATATTGATTATCATCATCATATGAATCTATGTCATCTAAAATAATAAAAAAAAACAAAAAATTATTATTTAATAAAAAAAATAAACATTTAATAAATTACTTTGATCAAGAAATTTTTTCATCTCAGCTGATGTTAAAATAAATAATAATGACCATGATTGTTCAATTAATATTAATTGATCATATTCATTTAATTCTTTAAATGATGGTACTAAATAAAGCCAACGTATTGATTCAAGTAAAACAAATGAAGCTATTTCACATATAATTCTTGATGAATTTTCATCATCTACAGTATCAAAAACAAAATTTTTATTAAAGAAAAATCAATTACTTAATAAAAAATTTTACTAAATGATATTTGTGTTTCATCATTATTTGAAACATCAGATGAAACTGGATCCGATGATGTACTACATTTAGATACATTAAAAGATTGTTGTGGTAGAAACATTTGAGATGTAGACCATATTGGTGATGATGTACTAAATAATAAATAAAATACCTTATATTTAAGAATATTCCTTTCAGATTTATGTTTATGCTAATTAATTAATATAAAACAGAACTAGACAAGTACAGATTTTGTCGTGTAGATACTTGTATTGCCTAGCTCTTGTATAAAAGAACTTACCGAATAAATTAAATTAAATTAAATTAAATTAAATTAAACAAATAACTACTTACTTATTTATAGGTAGATTTCGAAAACCAAATGGCATAGTCACTTTTAGTGACTCTGCTACATACCCGACAGCTGGTGGTGTCCAACATTGTACTCGAGAAAGTGAAGGAGTTGATATTACTCGTTTAGATCCATGACGTGGTACTCGTTCATTTTGTACAGCTGAAAAAAAAAAGAAGAGAAATAAATACATATTTTATTACTATAAAAGACACTTGAAAAGTTTTTCTTCTTTTGTTAAGTATAATACTGAGTAAATAATTCTCACCATTAGGTTTCATTTTAACAGCTAAACAACGTTGAAAACGGCATGCTTGACATTGATTTCGTCGATTGACATCAACTTGACATGTTGAATCACCTTTACATTTATATTCTATTTTACGTCTATTTAAACCAAAAAAAAAAAAGAAAATTCAATTCAACATTTCAATGAAATTAAAATTTTTACCGAACACTTCGTTTAAAAAATCCTCGACAACCATCACAACTCATAACACCATAATGTTTTCCACTTGCTTTATCACCACATACAGAACATAAAGATATATGACGACGATTTGTTGGAACAATACGAATAGGTGATGATGACATCAATGAAGCAACGTTATCTAAATTCAAAAAACAAAAAGAATTTATGTTGATCTCTCTCTCTCTCTCTAATACAGCAGGATATCGTTAATTGACCTAATTGAAGTGGCACAAACCTTATTGTCATCATTCGATTACGTTCTCACAAGGTGACAAATACTTTCAATTATGCGTATGACACCTGCTGATCGATACTAATTCACTTTAATGTACCGCATTATTTCGCAGCTTTTTTTTTTCTTTTTGTTTTTTTTCTTGAGTTACATCATTATGTTAAATCTCGTATATACGATTCTGTTAGCAGCTCATCTTTTGAAAAAGCTGAGAATCGAACAACAATTTGTTTGATCCTTATGAAGTCAAGTGAAGATGATCCATAAGCTTTAAAAAAAAATGTATATGTATATATATTCGGTGTCTTAATACGATCTTTCAACAACAATTATGTCACATTTAAATGGGAAAATTGGAATGTCTTAATATATATATATGCAATGTACACGCGCGCATCCGCCTAGCAGACATGTTTTTATAAATGCTTTTCATTTTGTTTTTCTTTTTCACAAAGCGACACAACAATTGTGTCATCGTGTGATAAGACTTTCGTTTTTCGTGCGAAATTCACCACCATTTACATTTCTAACTCATTCTTTATGTTACGCTTCGGTAAATTGAGGAAAAAGATAGAAAACATCGATAAGCATACAATCGATATGGAATGATCATTTTTTTTTTTTTCGTTATCGATATTTCACAGATATAAGAAGACTTTTCTGGTGTTTCACACTATTCATAACGAGATAAGGAAAGCAATAAATTCGATTCCTGAATAATTTCAATGAAAAGAAAAAGCATTGATTGAAATATACTTTTTTCTTCGTGATGGCTTCGTTCTTTATATGAAACAATCGTGTAGACTCTCTGACAAAAAACAAGAATAATAATTGATGGATTTTACCTTGACTATGAACTTCAAAGAAAGTTTTTCGCTCGTTCACGGAAAGATTCAAAATCCACTAATGATTTCAAGTTTTCACTGCGGAAAAGTAGTCAGTAGATTTTTTCAATTATGACTTATTCCACGAGAGTTTCTTTATCTTCTTTCAATTAAGATTATTTTTGGATGAAAAATAATCCTCGTTAACCTCGGAAATAGTTTTATTACTCAGTGATATATTAAATTCAATAACCTATTAAATCATTGTAGAAATATACGAAAAACACTTAGTTGGTAAATTAATTCTTACTTAAAAAATCTCTTCCTTCCGAATTATTTTTCATCTCATTAAGTTTTTGTTTTTTATTTTTCGAAAATAAAAGTTCATCATTTTTTGAATAAAAAAATCATTGATCTGTATTATATGAGAAAAATAACGAATAACTATACTTACACATTCTTTTTAATAAAAAGAAATGATCGGCATGCAAAAGCAGATTATCGAATGTATTTGTCAATAAAATGATATGTACGCTTAATTGACTAAATGACTTTATGAACAACAAGTGGAGAAAGCAGAATAAGAAGAAGAAGGAAGAGAGAAAAAATTGATCAAATATGCAATTAAAAATAAATATTTGAACCAATCGATGAAATGACTATTTAGAGAAAAAAATTCAAAAAATTTTATCCAATAAGAATACATAATCGTTTAGAATTTTTATTAAAACCAGTTGTATTTAATATTGAAAGAGATATACTTTTTTCAATTAAAACCTTCTGTCTTGAAAACATTTCGATTGAGTTTCGTACCATTACATCAATTGTTAACAGTTGAAAATATATTCAAATATATTAATATATTACTATTTCAATGAACAGCATAAATAAAATTATAGCTAGACTACGATGTAATATAAGTTCTTGAGATTTATCAGCCGGAGTGTTCCGAGCTGAGGTCACTCTTTCGATATTTAGAAAGTTTCGTTTTTTCCCAGAGTTTTATTGTTCATCATTTCTCAAGAAAACGCTCGATCTCCCCCTCCCCCTACGTTCCAAACTCTGGTCAATTTTAGCAAAAATCTTCCAATCAATCTCTTGAGTACTCGGAACATCCCTGTTTGTTATAAAAAAAAACCACGTTCTTTTCAAACTATCTATTGAAGATTTAAGTAAAAATCTATAGTTGTCACAACCGAATTAAGCACTAAAGTACAGAGGCATCACTAACTGTTGGATTTAATGTCAAAAAAAAATTCGCAATACATGTTTTGTGTATTATTTTCAAAACTAACTTTTCGTTAGAATAGTTTCTGTAAAGATTGAAACAACGGTGATAGAAATAATTTTACTATTATATGGTAAATCCAATAAAATATTCAATCATCATGAATGGTAAAGTGTGGTACAGAGAGTAGAAAAAATAATCAAATACATAGAGAAGATCTGTCATTTAACAGTTCATTGAAGAATAAAATTATATTTTTAAAAATAATTATTTGATAAAACTATGTCATAGTAAAATAAATTTTTTGAATTTTATAAATCAGGAAAAATATATTCAGAGACAAAATAAATTCGATTTTGCTTATCAAAAAATGTGATATTTATATGAACACACTTATTAACTTATTCCTTTTCAGTATGAAAAACTTGGAAGGTAGCGCTACATATAACTTGATAATAATAAAGAAAGAAAACGAAATATATATGAATCAGAACTTAAATAATGTACGAAGACGACAACGAATGTTTACCAATACCTCGACGGTAATATTTTAATAAAATATTGAAATTTTTTTAATTTTAAATTTCATTTCGTAGTTCGTTAGTTAATCGAATAGTAAATCATTTTGATTCCGATAATGAAAATTCTCCCTTCGAACAACGACAATCACGTTTATTTCTTAATACCTCTAATAGTACAGATAGTGGTGTTGATGAAAATATTCAAACATCTATAGAATTAATTGCTTTATATGAAAAAACAGTTGAATTAGCTGCAAAAAATAAAATCAATGCAAAAAATGCATTTCATTTTCCATTTGTTGAACGATTACCAGAAATATTAGACATTATTGCATTTGATGATAAAACAGATTCTTCTCATGATCATCATGAACCTAATTTTGCTAAAGCTGGATCAGTTATTGATACAAGGTAAAGAAAAAAATGTTTCATTTCTAAAATTTTCTTTTTGTAAAATTTTCTTTAGTGCAAAAATTTATGGATATCGTGTTGATGCTCTTCATACAGAAACACAAAAACTTAATGGAAGTATTCAACAAAATGATGAAGAAGAATTAAATATTACAAATACTGATCAGATAGAAATAACAAAAAAATTAACACAACGTATTAAACCAAAAGCAAGCTCTTATCTTGTTACAGATTTATCAACAATTTCAATTCCATATGAATTTGAATTTCATCCATTTCAACCATCAAATATGTGTCAATGGCCAGGTGGTGTCGGAATTGATTCATTATATGCAGATATGATTTCATATACAATGTATTCATCAAGTGATTTTCCTCTTATAAATGGTTTCATTAATTTAAATAGTCAAATTAATAAAGAATATGATGATAAAGAAAAAATACTTGATATAACTTCGAAAACAATGTATGATTTAACTTCATTACGAGAAGTTATTAAAGATAATGAAGGAAAAGATCATATTCTTGGTAAAAAATAAATAATATATTTTTAATTAAAATAATTAATTAAAATTTTTTATTAGGATGTCAAGCATTACGAGAATTTTCATTTAATGAAGATCCAACAGAATCTTATATTGAAACAATTGATGAATGTTCAATTATTGATAGTGTATTAATGAATTCATTAGATAATCATGAAATATTAGATGAAATATGTGGTAATGATTTAAGTGAAGTACGCGATGATCCTTCGACTTTCTATTTTCAAGAATTTCAATCAGCTCATGTAAATTAATCTAATCGAAACGAATTTTCTATTTTATTTTAAAATTTATTTTAGACTTTTCCAACAACAATGATATCTATGGATATGACATTAGCGAATAGTAAAGTGTCATTTGTTGATCAAATACCTCAACTACTTCGTGACAAAGTAACTTTTCAATTATAGATTGAATTTTTTTCCCTCTCTAACCAGATATAAATCGAATCAAAGAATTTTTGAATTTGATTTGAGTTCAGTTTTTACATATAAAATATGATCGAGTAACAGATAAAAACAAGAAGTTTGATATCAAAAATCGAAGTTCACGTTCAAATTAGTTGATTCTTATTTCCAACAACATGACCCAAATATTTCTACTTTTTCAAACTGGCAATTTGTATAAAAGCATAGGAGCGAAGCATGGTTCGAACAATTTATTATACTCGAGAACAGGTCACAGAAATGACAAGCAATATTGTTTTACTGAAAAAATTCATGTTTTAATGAAAATTTATGTGCACATGATTATGAATCATATGATGAAGTAACTGAATACATGAAGAGAAAAATGAATCACCAAAAAAAGTGAACATATAGTATTGTCATGGAAAAAGTACGCATGTATGTATTCACAATAATGATGTTTGACACCAATACTGCGTTCCGTTTCAGCGTCATCAGCAACAACCAAACGTATACTTAGCGAAATTGATCCGGTTGAAGATGTCAAGTGAATCCTAGATCACTTGCTTTTTTGTTGTTATTTATGGAAGAAACTAAATAATATACTTTTGTTGATATCAAATAAAAGTTTGAAAACCGTACTATGACTGTGAAAGTACATCCAGAATATCGATTAGCTCCGATCGAAAAAAAACCGTATCCGTACAGGACACTAGTTCTTAGTTCTGGCCAAAATTATAAGACCACTTGTTTGAGTGATATGATTGTCTAGCTCTCGATCACTCTAGACTTTTGATGTGAATACATGCATTCGAGTATGCTTTATTCAAATACGGAATCAGATTTTCTTGATGCTATTGCTAAGTTAGATACAATAAATGTTTACTTAAATCCGTGAATTTTTGTCTGGTATCCTATTTCCGTTATTCATACGTCAGAGGGATGCTAGTTTTTCTTGGAATCCATAAAGACAGATAGATATGCTTCATCTGAACATTTTCATAAAACAAATTTGACTTTAAAATAAGATATTATTGATCAATTCGAAATAACTTGAAAATGTCATTTAAGTTCAATATTTTGGCTCCAAAATTTAGAATATAGGCGAGGTTGATTATTGAACAATAAATTCGACTAGATGACATTTTTTTCGACAGAATAAGATCTTTGCTAGTTCTGTGTATCATTTCGTTACAGAGAAATATATGGTGTCAAGACCTATGCTATCTGTTAGCACGAAAAAAACATAAAAAGGTTTAAAATCTTTATATGTTATCGTTGTAGGTTTTGACACTGTATGTTTCTCCATAATTAAATGATGTTCAGAACTAGCAAATGTCTTTTTTTTGTCAGAAAAGTGCTTTATATTTGAATTTGTTATCCAAAAATCAGCTTCGGCTATATTTTAAATCTTGCAATCAAAATATTAAACTTAGGTGATGCATTTCAGCTATTTCAATTTAATCAATAAGAATAAAGCATACTCGAATGTATGTAGTCACATCGATTTTTCTTTTCTTAAGAGTCTAAAGTAGTTAAGAGCAAGTAAACAATATTACTCAAGCAAGTTGCTCCTATAATTTTAGCTAGAACTATAGATTCTTTTGTCTAAAACATGAATGTCTCATTTAAATAATATGAAATCCAAGAAAGTCTTTATTGATATAGTATTTTCAATGAAATTTATTTTTTCTTTTATTTCAAAGACTGATTTATCAGAATATAGTTATTTTGATTCTCTTAAATTGAAATTATTTGCTGGACCGTATTTATGGAAATATACAAATTTATTACCTGATATAATTAAATCTATTTCAACAGCTGAACAACCAACATCAATAAGTCGTACTCGTATTTATTCAACACGTCATTTTAAATTGAATTTATTAAATGAAAAACGAAATCAATCATTAAATCATTTAATGAATTTTAATTCATGGAATAGAAAATCATTAAAAAAACGAAAAAGAAAAATTTTATCAACAACACTTCGTCAAACTCGTAAATATTATTTACATGAAAAAAATCATTATCAATTAAAACTTTCAAGAAAATTACGTCCATTAACAGATTTATCTTGTTTAAATTATTTTCCTGATTATAATCTACAAAATTTATTCAATACGAATGAAAATTATTCAATAAATAATGAAAATAATTATAATTTTGATCCAATGGATTATGATAATCCATTATCTGAACAACCTCAATATGATTTTAGTCGTCCAATACAATATGATAAAATTGAATATGATAAAAATTTTGCTAAAATCGATGCAAAAAAACTTCAAATTCAATTATATGATGAATATAATCGTCAATATACAAATACATCAAATTCCGTATCATTATCAACATTATGTGTTAAACTTATTGATCAAGGTATAATTTCATATGAAAAAGATCAAATTGTATCTGCATTTTATTGTATGCTAAATAATTGTAATAAAAATCATTTATATATGAAATCTAATTCACAAAATGATGATCTTATTATACAAAAACAACCGTTTGTTGATTCCACACAACTTATTTATTCACATTCAATAGTTTAATTTTTTATTATTATTATACAGTGTATCTTTTTTTTTTCAGTTATTTATTAAAATATAAATCTAATCAAACAAAAAATTAAAATTAAAAAGAATTACCCGTTTGTTTCGATTATTTGATTTAGTTTTTCACATCGTCAATATAATCGTCGACGTTAACATCCAACTCACAAGAGAATCTTTCTAAGTGTCAAATTGCTTTTGAGTCGGAAGTATGTGCATCATGCAGGTTCTAATGAGTTGTGAATATCCTGAAAAGTATTCGGATTAACTCTTTGTTGTAGTCGTGAAGTTCAAGTGGATCTACTTCACAGTTGTTTGTATAGTACTACAATAAGATTTTCTGTTTCGGACTAGTCTTCTTATCTAATCTGTAGTCTTTTGTTGGTGCATAATATTCTTATGAGAAATCACGGACAGATCTAAAAGGAGAAAAAAATCCAACTGTGGATCTGCATGGTTTTCATAACAACTACAATACTATAAGTATTATTTGTCGTCTTACTGAAGCTGTCATCTGTTGTCTTCCAATTGTTTTTTCAAATCGGTTCGTTTTGCATCGTTTGTACGTTCATTATTTATGATAATGATTCAAATTTTTTTAAACAGCGTGAAATTTGTCATTTTTAATCAAAAACCATGTTTACTGCTCTTGTTAGTTATCCACTTAATTTAGTTGAAGTTTTAAAGGTGTAGGTGTGGGTGTGGGTGTGGGTAGGAAGAGAAGATAAATACAAACACATTCATATCCTTTTATAACACTCGAAACTAGTCGACAATAACACATCCGAAACCAAAAATCAAAGTCTTATTTCAGCTTTTGAGAAGTTTTTCTTTAAAAAAGAAAAGAGATTTTTTGAACTACAAGTATGACATAAACGAGTATATTATTAGGAAAAGTCCAATATAGAACAGATAATAACGTAGTGGGAAAACCCAATACGTCATTTTGGTAAAAATCAGTATATAATGTATAGATGTAACTGTCTATGTGATATACAAATCAGAAAAGAAAAAACAACGAGCCAGTGCAGAATGAAAAAGACAACGAATACACACAAAAATGAATCTGCTACAGCTATGCTGTAATAAAACTGAATCTGGCTGAATGTGTTAATGTAACCAGATGCTTATGTACTATTGAACTATTAAAAAAGATAAGAAAATAAATATATGAAATGAACAAAGAAAATCTTTTGAATGCTTTCCAGATGCAAAAGTTGCCTTTTTTTAACCGCCTTGATCCACTGTTTAAATTGAAAGCGGAAGTGCAATTAAGGTGTTTAATCGTGTTTTCAAAAGCTCTTGTCTGCTTAGATGACTATCATTCGACAACGTGGTTTATCTTTTTTCTTTTTGTTTATAAGTGATAAATCTCAAAACAACAAACTTTTAATTTTTCTAAAATAATATGTTACCAAACGAACTCTGAAAAACTATTGGTTCAATAGTTTCACATGGTTCTGATCGACAACATTTATTTTCTGCACAAACACGAAAACGATATTTAGCACTACGAATTAATTTATTAATAATTGTTTTTCTTTCTTCAATGCTGATCGAATAAATTTCATTCGATGATACAGCTTGTTGTTGTTCACATTTTCCAACACAATAACCAATTAATAGTAAATCACTATCATTATCAGATTATTTCAATACTAATTCACATTGATCAAAATCCAATAATTTACAATTAAATTTTTTAATTTGCTTTCTATGAAACATGAACTAAGAAAAAGAATCAATAGACCAATTATCGTTATTTCTATTTAATGTATCATTTCAAATTGCATGTGCACTTATTGTAATTTAGTTGGAAGAAATTGTTTTCAACAACTAAGCGTAACATTGTAAAATTAATTATTTTATAATAAATTTATCAGGAAGAGAATCCAAAATATAAAAACAAATCAAATACCTTCCTCACAAGAAAACGGTATAGATGTGTTTGTCATAAGAGATGTGGTGAATTGTATTCTACCAACATATTCAACCAAGGTTTTACATATAACTCATTACACGAAAAATAGTTCTCTTTATTTTATTCTCATTTATATATATAGAATATTAGACTACATCAGAATTTTCTAGGAGTTTGTATCAGAAACATTTGATAAAAAACTTTGATTGAATTTTTTTAAGACAATGTTATCGAAACTTGAATAGCGAATTTTTTGAAGTCAACAGGAACATTGTACAAGCATAAAGTACATATTGAACGTACGGAATATGAGAATAACATTCTACAAAGATCGACCACAGTATCAGTTAGAATCTAGTAAACCGACTTGAAATCACACGCAGAACTGTGCAAATACAATCGAATGAAATCAAGATAAATGCAACAAACAACAGCAAGGTAAAAGCGATGCACTGTTTATGCGTGATTCATCTATCTCTCTATCTGTTCTTTTTCCCTATTTCTGTACATAGTACATCCCACGCGATCATGACACATCGATGTAAGTTACTTGAGCAATGGGAAAAAAACCGTTTTTGTCTATGAGTGAGGGAGAGTGACTCATTGTAATCTCTCAGTGTCCCTATTTACTAATTCTTAATTGTTATATGGGGGACATCCTATGGCAATATTTACTCATCGATAATAACTACAAGAAATAGTAGTATAAAAACTGGTGGTCTCTGCCAGTTTCTCTTCACTTATGATTTTTATCTTCAGTCTCTCTCTCGTTCACATTTTCATTTACCCATATAGATTGAGACTTATACTATGTAAGCTACTCTTACCGATTCATTGCTTATACAATCTCTCTGTATCTAATTATTCGACTTGTCATCTTGATTTACTTTCTGTTGTTTTAGATAATAAAGAAGATACCTTCGCAACAGCAAATATAAACATGTTTTGCTCCATACTAACCTATTCGCTCGTTTTTGTTAGTATATTTCTCAATGTTCAAGGCTACGATAACGATAATGAATTTCTGCTGAAAACTTTGATTCGTCGAAGACTTGCTCGTGCTGCCTGTTCTAAACCAACCGACTGTATGTCGAAATGGGGCTACTGTGGAACGGGAATAGATTATTGCGGTGCTGGCTGTCTAGCTGGTCCATGCTCAGGAGGTGGAGGTGGAGGTGGAGGTGGAGGTGGAGGTGGAGGTGGAGGTGGAGGTGGAGGTGGTCTTCCCTGTGTTGATCCAAAAGAATGTCGGTCGAAATGGGGCTACTGTGGAAAGGGAATAGATTATTGCGGTGCTGGTTGTCTAGCTGGTCCATGCTCAGGAAGTGGAGGTGGAAGCACTGGAGGCGGTTCAGGTAATCTTTTGGACACCAGTCCATTTGTCTATATATTTAATGCAAAACGCGAATAGCCGTTTTTCGAATACAAACGATCAGAATCGAATGAAAACGTTCTAGTACTTAGCGGTGAGCAGAGACAATTCTGATTTATCGACCTATACATGAGAAGTCTCTTGATCTACGCATCTCATTTTCAATAATAGTGTGTTCAGATTGATCTATGATATGCAGATCAAATATGAAAAGAATTTGTCGAATGACTCCATTTTTTGTTCAGAGATTGCCAGAAAGACAGATGATATGAGGAACATACTGCACTATTCGTAAGCCAGTGGTAATGGTAGGTTTCTTTGTTCAAAGGAAGAGAAGATGAAGTGATCACTTTCTTCTAGATCACTAGGTGTAGAGAGTGTGGTTATTCGAGACAGAAGTAACTCTTAGAAATCACGAATCATTTTTCTAGTTGTTCAATATAGTTTTGACATGTTTGTTTCTTATTTAGGTGGCACTTTTCAAGGAGATGCTACACACTATAGTGTTAGTGCTGGCTTTACGGCATGTGGAACAAAGCACAGTGATAATGAATATGTCGCTGCATTGAATGCACCACAATTTGATCCAAATACACCTAATGGTAATCCAAATTTGAACAGCTTATGTAACAAGTTAGCCAAGGTAACTGGTCCCAAAGGAACTGTCACAGTAAAAATTGTTGATAAATGCCCTGGATGTAAATATGGTGATCTTGATTTATCAGAAGCTGCTTTCAGAGTCGCAATTGGAGATCTTGGCATTGGTCGTGCAAGAATTACATGGAGCCGGCTTTAAAAATATGTCATAGTGAAGCCGATTCTTTTTAAAGAATTTGCTACAATGAACATTTACTTTTCGATTTTTTGTTTCATCATCATTTTTATTTAGTCACATGAATCAATGAATTTTTGAAAATAAATTTTTCTAGCATTCATAAATTGCAGAGATGTTTTATTGTAGTAGAGTTTCCACGATAAGTTTGGCTAATTTTTGAGCTCTTACTTTCGATCACTATCGAATTGAACACTCACGAATTCATTTGTAAAAATTGTCTCAGAATAACATTGGATTTGTTACTAAGATGGAAAACGAAATCTACTCATCTATAATTGAGCTATTTTCGTTAAAAAAGCTTTTTGTATCGACATAGTTAATCGGAGGTCTCCGAGCATTTTTGGTAGAAAAACATTGCCGGTCAGATTTATTGTTTTCGTTCAGAATAAACTCTTTTAGATACTCACTACAATGAGAATATTAGAAATAATTTTTGATAATAACAAACACTTGTATCTAAGTGAAGTTTAATTCTCTGTCCACTGCTATAAAAAGGTTCGATCAGTCAATGAATTTTGACAGCGAGCTGTTTCTATGTGTAATTGTGATATATTTAGAGTTCATTTCAGAATTAAATGGTCGTAGGCATTTTTTCAATAGTTTAAAAATAAAAAGAGAAAAATAAGTTGGGTTTTGCCACTATCTAGAGTCAACATTGCTCTATCTCTTTACAAAATCGATAAAAAGTGCTAATCACTTTTCTTCTTGGATACATCAGGAATTTTGGAGATCATCTTAATCCACTTTGAAAACAATATGCTTTCTCAACTCTAATATAATGAGTAGATATCGTAACTTCTTCTCTATCGATCTACGAAAGGCCGAGATCGACTGCGATTTGCGTTTCAAAAACATAAAGATTTTATCAAAGACCATTCACTAATTTTTTTCAAGATCTGAGCATGTAACAAATATTTTCGTCTATAAGTTTTTAGTCATCTTCGACTTCATGACATAATATATTAACCTTTAGTGTATTTTTCCTATTAAAGGCATCATCCGAAATCATACATTCGAAGTTGGTGTGTGGATATGATTGTGAGTGTTGATGTGAGCGTTGGTTTTTTTTTGCTTCAGCCATCATCACAATCACATCGCTTTACTAATGAGACACTCTACATCGGTTCCTATAGAGTTAGCCTAGATCAATATGAAAACATATACGTCATTTCAACACGAATTTAACTTTGACTGAATTGAACAAATTGCCATGAGAATGGGTTTATAACTTAGGTGCGATGAAAGCAATCGATTACACCAACCATGTCAAACAATGTTTAAAAACGCCGATATTTTTATGTCGACAAGATTGACGAAGAACTAAATGATCATGACAACGATGTTTATAGCACGTATAGTACGAATGAGACTGATGATTAATCACTTTTATAGTTAGTTTACATAAACATCTTAAAATTCTTTTCGATTGACCAATTTGGACTCAGAAAATTATTCTGATGAAAGCACCAATAAAATGGAGATTTAAAACTTTTTGAAAGTATCGATGTATTAAAATTAAAATAAATTTTATGTATGGTTTTTGATGACGATTAAAAACTTGTAAACAGAAATATTTGTCGGGTGCTCAAGTTTTGTAAAAAAAGAAAAAAATTAGTGAAAGATCTTTGGTAAAAGCTTTATATTTTTGGAACGCAAATCGTAGTCGATCTCGGCTTTTCGTAGATCGATAGAGAAGAAGTTACGCTATCTACCCATTATATTAGAGTTGAGAAAGCATATTATTTTCACACTGGATTTGGATAATCTTTAAAACTTATGATGTAACCAAGAAGAAAAGTGACTGAAATTTTCCATCGATTTTGTGAAAAGATAGAGCAATGTCGACTTCAGATAGTGCTACAAACCAAATCATTTTTTTTGTTTTTAAGCTATTAAAAAGATACCAATGCACATTTAAGTCTGAGAAGCACTATATATAGTAAAGTGCAAAAGTCTTTGCCCTGCATATAGCTTGACTTTTTCACAACATATCTCTCGAAGTTTCTGGAAAGAATTTTCGAGAACCTTCTGATATATAAGGAGAGGTGTATATATATAGCTGTGTATACTACGATTCGCCGTCAACATTCTTTCTTTGGGAAAAAATGCCTCAACAACGTAACCTAAGTGCAATGAGAACGAAGCGTTCAGCTATTTTACATTTGTGGAACAACGGTCATCGATCTCCCACAACAATTGCTCGTATAACAAAGATCCCACTTCGAACTGTAAAATATAATATTGCCAAGATTAAAGAACAAGGTACAATTGAGGACAGGCCACGTCATGGTCGACCTCGTAAAATTACTGGTAACGATAACCAAGCACTCGGCCAATGGATTCGGCGCAACAATGAGATAACATCACAAGAACTATCAGAAAAACTGCTTCATGATCGAGATCTGAACGTATCTCAATGAACCGTTCAACGTCAACTCCATCGAATGGGTTACAAGAGTACTTTGCCGTATGGTACACCAATGCTGACTCAAGAACAAAAGGATGCACGTGTTCAATGGGCAATCAAACATCAAAACGATGACTGGAGTCGAACAATATTCACCGACGAAACCTGCTACCAACTGTTTCGAAATACCATTCGTCGATGGTCAAGAAATCCAAAAGCAGAAGTCAAGAGAATTCCAAAGAACAGACAGAAGATTATGGTATGGGGAGGCTTCAGTATCAAGGGTCTGGTGGGCTATCGTTCTTTCAATGCAATCATGGATGGTCCCTACTACGTTCAAATTCTTCAAGATCATCTCATTCCCAATGCTAGAAAGCAATTTGGTCGGTGATATCGACTTCAACAAGATAATGATCCTAAGCACAAAAGTCGAGTAGCTCAACAATTCATATCCAGTGAAGTACAGGACGTGATCGACTGGCCGTCAAATAGTCCGGATGTCAATCCTGTGGAAAACCTCTGGTCAATTATCAAACGTCGTGTTGAGAAACGAAAACCAATAAATCTTCAGGAATTGGATATCTTTTTACATGAAGAATGGGACAAAACCGACATGCTCGTCCTAAATCATTTGGTAAATTCCATGAAATCAAGATGTTTAGCTCTTATTTTAGCAAAAGGAGAGAGAATCAATTATTAAATGTAACACTTTTGTATCTTGAACTGTACCTTATCTTTGCATATATTTCGTTTTTATATCGATCATTTGTTTGGTAATAAATATTTGAAACAGTGAGGGCAAAGACTTTTGCACTTTACTGTACCTCACATAGTTGTTATCTTTTGCAAAAAAACAAACATTTCACAATCAATCATACAAATGAGTATTCATTTTTTTTAAAGAAAATATCGATTTATCCGTCAATTTACAGTGGAAGCTTCGTACCGCATTTAGTAATCGAGTAACACTCAAATACCATCTAGTTTCTTTTATTGACTGTACTAACCATTTATTATCTTTATTTTCTAATAACTAAAAAACGGCTGTTTATACAAAAAATAGTGTCAAACACCAAACCGATTTAAGCGAACAAAATTCACTTGAATACTATTATAAATTTGAAAAAAAAAACAAGAATCACCATCACCATCACCAGAATTATTTATAAGCAAGTAAAAGTTGTAAACCATCTGTTGATTGTTTTCTTTCAATTGATCGAAATCCGATTTGTTTAAGAAATTTTTTCGAATATAAATCTTTTGGATTTTCTTGTTCTTTAATTGTTGTTATCATATTCATATAAAGATTAAGTGCTAATGTAACTTCATCATATTCATCATTAGGTACAATTAAAATAAGAAGACCTTTTCCATTTATTGGTAATATATCATATACTTGTTTAATTTTTTCTTTTAATAAACCATCTTGTCTCCAAATAATAATAACATCTGCATCTTTATCAATTGAATCAATTGAAATATTCGAATAATTTGTTAAATCAATTAATTGTTTAATACGTAATAACATTAATTGATGAATTGAATCTTTTGATGAATTATTAAGAAGAATATTATCGAATTGTGGCATATTTAGATAAAATTCTTGATCAATATTTAATAAAATTTTTCGATTAGGAAGAAGAAAATTTCGTGTAAATTTTGTTAATTTATATGAAAAATTTTCATTATTACGTTCTAAAAAATTCATTGATGTTAAACAATCAAGTATATCTTGAAGACATCTTGATTCATTTTCAATATAATGTAAATTTAAATGTTTAGCTATATCACAACATAATAAACCATCATTATATGATAAAAGTAAATCAAATATTTTTAATTCTATTGATGTAAATATGATACGTGTACGCATAAAATTTTGTGCTATTTCAAATAAATATTGTTCACTATCATATATAGATAATGATGATGTCATCTAAAAAAATAAATATATTTTTTTAATTTTTTTTTCTTTGTACAGAAGAATTTTATCGAGCAAAATTTATTGTCCATAAACGAGCCATTCGCTCATAATCACTACGTTCATGTTTATATTGTAAACCAAGTTCTTTCATGGCACAATGATCTAAATAAACAAAAGAATTTAAAATTCGTGAAAGAAAAACAAAACTAAAAAACGTGATGGATGGTTATGAATGATTATAAACTTCAAATATGAAAGTACGAATAAAAAAAAAGAATAAATCTAATGTAAACTAATATGTACTTCTTATTTATTGATAATTTGTAATTTCATTGATACTAAGTATTTAAAATAACGAATCAGTTGAAAATTAAAATTCTTTATTCTAATATAAACAAGTCTTAGGTTATTTAGTGTCTTTTAAGCTCTTGACGATGGGATTGACTTTAAGAAAACAAAGGAAATTTTCAAAGCCCTGATACGATATATTCTTATATCGTTATCAAAAAATATCTAAAAGTATTTTAGAGTATGATAATCTTGAGTGTTGATAGGCCTTCTCTTCACCAGCACCTATGCCCTCACAATACAGATGGCAGTATAACAGATTTATGGTTTGTAGACTATCGCAGATCATAACAGTATCGTAAATTCTGGGTACACCATTAGTTTGTTTAATCTTATTTTTTTCAAAAACTAATCGGTGACTCTTGGGTCACTCTGTATAATAAAGTGAAAGTAATAAAGCTACGACACATAATGGTTACTGAAACATAATTTAGCAATATACTATTTTCTAACTCCCTAATCACTGTAATTCTATTATCAAGAGAGCAATAAAGATAAATAAAAATATCCTAATTCTATTATAAAGTATTCATGAATGCTTGATATCAATAATAGACTCATGAAAACATTATTTATACATGAATGTATAACTATCAATAAATTTTTTCTAAAAAATTCAACTAACCAGGTTCACATTGAACAAGTAAATTTGCTACTTTTTGAATAATTTGTCGAATAGTTACAGTTGGTGACCAATTTTTATCGAATATATCATGTTTAACTAATCCTGTACTTTGATAAATATTACAATGATAAATTCGTGTTTTAAATTCAAGCTAAAATAAAATAAATGATTAACAAATAAAAAAAAAAATTTCTTACTGTAGGTGGTGTAAATGGATAATCATCATCAAAAGTAAGTAAAGCAAAAAAAGTACCACCTTCATAAAGAGAACCAGGCATGCCTTCGAAAACTACAAGCCATTGTTTAAGACTATCAGCTGTCGGACCAGCACTATGAAAAATAACAAAAAAAAAAACAAAATTAAAAAGAACAATCAATTTTTATTATACCAAGTAAATGGTACTGGATTTTGTTGAAGATCGAGACATTCACGTCGAAGTCTAAGTAAAAATAGATAATTATATTTTGAAAGATAAAATAAAATCTAATTACCGATTTGTAAATGTTGGATTTGAAGATGAATTTGACGACATTATTGTGAAATTTTCAAATATATTATTATTACAAGCAAAGAAAGTTGAATACAATTAATAACTTTTTCTTATTGGTTAATGTCGCCCTTTCGATGATAGTTTAATAGAGGCTATCGAAGTATGTTTGCGATCTATTGTATTGGATAATATAAATTTTGTTAAGATTATCGATTATATTGTGTTTCATTTTTCGAATTGTAAATGCATAATGTCTTCTTTTGTTAATAATAATAATGAATGTTTCGTAAGTTTTAAAATTTTTGTTTTTATTTTTTATTTTTGTTAAATTTTGATTTCTATTAAAGTATCAAAGTATCGAAGCAAAACGTCAGAAAAATATTGAAGATAATCGTCGTTTTCTTGCTGCACTGAAAATTAATGATGTAAGTGACGCAATAAAATTAATATTTAAATTTAAAATAAATAAAAATTATTAAATACTTCCATATTTGAAAAACTTACGAGGGAACATTCCCAACTGTCACATCGCTTTTGAGTCGAGTGTATGCACGTCATGTAGGCCCTAATAATCTATAAATACTCTGAAAAAAGTTCATGCCCCTAGCTTATTACTGCCGAGATATTGCATTTTTACTGTATGTTTAAGAAAAAAAAGTCGTGGTCCCCCTCAGGAACATTAGAAAAACTAAGTTTCGAATTTCGACTTGAAACTTGCCATAGAGACAGGTCTCAATGAGAATAGTTTATTGTGAAAGTTTTAGATCTTTTCGTTGTTCCTATCCTAAGATACAGCTATGAGAAAATAGCTTATACATACCAGCAGCTTTCGATGTTATTATTTCAGACTAGGAGCAATCAAAAGATCTGAAACTTCGACAATAAACTATTCTCATTGAGACTTGTTCCTGTACAAAGGTTCAAGTTGAAATTCGAAACTCAGTTTTCCTAGTGTTCCTGAGGGGAAACACGACTTTTTGCTTACACATACAGTAAAAATGCAATATCTCGGTAGTTAATAAGCTAGCGGCACGAACTTTTTTTAGAGTATTCATAGATCATTGGGATCTATATGATGCGCATACACTTGACTTAAAAACGATGTGACAGTCGGGAATGTTCTCTCGTTTGTCCTTACTGATATTTTTGTGTCTATAGACTTATTGTAAAAATTTTTTTTTTTATTGTGATATATAAAGAAAAAGTAGAACAGATGTTCGAGTATGCATCAAGAAAGCAATAACTGACTATCATTAGACTTGTTTTTTTGTCGAATAAAATTATTGACAATGTAATTTATTTTTAAATTGTTATTTTTAGATTCGTGATGAAATTAAAGAAATAACTAGTAATACTGACATCGAAAATGTCAGGTCAAACGAACGACGAGCTGTAAAAAAGTAAATTTTTATTAGTTTTTCTTCATATAACTTTTTTTGTTGATATTTCAAGGAACATAAAACCAGATACTGTTCGTCGAGGTTCAAGAATTCGAAAGAATATCATTCCAATTGAAAATATACCACCAATAGAAGAGAAACGAAAGAAGAAGACAACAAAAAAGACTGATGAAAATCGAATTCATTCTCTACCAAAAATCAAATTAGTAAGTAAATTAATATATAATGACACTCAAAATTGATCATAAACATAATAGATGGTCCTGTTTTTCTAATATCTCGAGAGCAGTTTGAAGTACTGAGATACGAGTTTTTGATGTAATCTAGCTGAAGATTTATAGTTGATTTGCATCAAAAACATCACCTCTTTCCGTTCTAAACTGGCTATGTTAGATAAAAAAGGCTCTTCTATAAACATACATATAAATTTCGCAAAGAAATATTGAACATTTTGCGATTATCAACAGGAAATCCACTTCAAATATATTGTAACGATAAAATCAAGTAAAATTTCATTAAAGCTTTTCTTTTCAAAATCGTCGGATATGCAATATTTCATTAAGAAATTTATGTATATTTTTATATGAAATCGTACGATCAATTTTGATATAATGTTTATATTATTCTAGCAATTGCCTGATCATATGTTAATACGATATCACTCAACAAGTAAAAAAGTCGCTTTACACAATACTAAGGTAATAGATATTTAGACTTTATTTTATTTTATTTTAAATCGTTATCTTTTCATCTATATAGGCTAAATTTGGTGATAATGTTAATGAAAATACATTGATGTGAAAAAATGTTTATTTATTTACTGTTTCTGTTTTGTAAATGTTTCATAGATGAGAATGATAGGCTTATATATTTTCTTTTTAAATGTACTATATCTAGTTATAAATGAATCTCTAGATATATATATCAAAATATCATCGAATAAAGGAAAAAAAAATCAATCAATTAATAATGAAATAACTAAATCAATAAATGACAAACAGCCTAATAAAAAAAATAAGATAAATTGATTAGTGATAAAGGATTGAAGCAACATAAGGATGTATCCGATGATAAGAATCAACCTCAAGGTAAACAACGATAAATCAGCTGATAATGATAGATATGAAGAAAAGAGTGATGAAGAGTCAAGTGAAGATTCTAAAGATACTTCATTTTCAAGTGGATATAATATAATTGAATCGAAAGTATTTTTATTCAAATAGGTGAATCAAATGAATCAAGGTTATCAATCTATAACTCATTATTATATATATATATAAAAGGCAATATAAATATGCAAAATTAATCCAACCAATTCTATTTATAGAGATATTTCGTTTTTCGTTTCATAATTGACAATATTGATTGGTGAATAAGCAATGAATTGATTTGTTTTTTTTTTCATAAAAGGTAACGTTTACTACAAAAAGAATATGATTGAATAGAGACGATTTGCCCTTAAGGGATGATGAATGTCCTTGAGTTATAAAAGTACGTTTATTTCAAAACAATCAACATAATATTAATTGTTCGCAAATGTAGATTCTCTTACAAGCTTGCTATTTATTTAAAATAAAGTATGAAAACAATAATTTTGTTTTTTTTTTAAATTCATAGAAAAATATCTTTTTTTAGAATGTTTATTACATTATTGTTTTTCTTTTCTTATGATTATATCTTACTCGTAAAACATATCAGAACATTTTTTTTTTCAATATAGATCGAATCTATTTTTATTTTCTATCCTAATTCTTGATTTTTTCTATTCTTCTAGTTAATATCCATTCGTTCTGTGGATGTATAGTATTCTATCCATGAAACAAGAATGTTGACTTTGACATCAACCTCTCTTTAATGAATCATATTTTACAGTATGCATCTTTCAATACCATTATTACTTTGACTATCATTACAAATCATGGTCATGCCGATATCGTCATTAGTGATGGATTTTTCACAGTCGATAAAAAACTGTTATATGTGCAAGACACAAGTCGTTTCGTACATTGATAAATAATGTATATGCACAATGTAAAAGAAAAAAAAAATAATATAGCAATATGTGTACTTGAGCAAGACGACTACACTAGCTATCTGTGTTTGTTTTTTTTTATTGGAGTAGAATATGGACGTATATATATAAGTATGTAAAAGATAAGAACGTTAATGATTACACACAGCTGTTTCCTTAGAAAACGTTTTACATTTAAGAGTTCTTTATTCATTTAATAGAACTAAAAGGTGAGTGCTAAATACTTCAAACTTTGATCTTCTTTTCTTTTTGTGTGTAAAAAATACAAAATAATATATTTTGTCTCGCTATGTCAGTAGCATAACACGTCCTTGCCCTTCATATTAGATAGAAAAAAAGATACACATAGACAAGTAAGCACGCGCGCACTTCTATCTACATATATAATCGAATGAAACGAAAAACAAATTATGACGTTATGAAAACCTTGTTTTGAAGTACAAAAAAAAAGAAAAGAAAAGAAATTTGAATAGTTTATTTATCTGTTCTATGTTCTTTTACAAGCACATGATTATATTGAAAAAAAAAGTTTGATTTGTTTTAATATGGGTAAGTGAAATAGTAACACTTCACATTGGCATCAGCAGTTGTTCGTGTTTATTCTTTTTGATGATGCATGCATGTGTAACATACGTAGAAATAAATAGAACAAAAACATTGAATAGTAATTCGTTGTTGAAAACAAAATTTCTAGTCGAACTGTTCTATTCATTGATAGTGACCTTGTTCGAATCTTCCCAAAAGCACTGCTTCTGATTTGATATTATTATCCGTAATAGAAATAGTCGTCTATGGGAAGAAAAGTAAAATAGACAAGCTTTAATGGGTGAGAGAATCTTTGTATACTTCGAAGTTTTCTCGCAATCATTGTCGCTACAGAAAAATAAAAATAAACTAATTTCTTCATTTTTTATTTCGATATTTTTTATTATTGTTTTTTGTTTATAAGAGATATTCATTTTTGTACATAAGTAAAACGAGTGTGTCTACTTTAATAGAAGTGTAAAAGAAAAAAAGAGAGATGCTTGTTTGACGAGGATAAACACAAATCTGATCCAAGTCTGATCAAATTTCAAGATTTTTCTTTCATTTTTAAATATACTTTGGAAATAAAATACGCAACAACTGATCTCAAAGATCGAGTATTCTGCAAAAAAAAAGAAAATTACGAATATTTCGTAATTAAAGAAGAGAAAAGGTGAGAGAGAGAGAGAAAGCAAACTCTCATACCATTTATATTTTGTCTCTCCTGCTGTTTTTTCATGGTCGGCACTATAGTTATGTTATTATTTATTTATTTTTTTTTTTGACAGCGACTAGACATTCTGCTAGTCATTTTCGTTTTTGTTTTATTGATCAAAACTGATAAATCTTAACTATGAAATTACAGTCATTGCCTTTTTTTCTTTCTTTCATTGGTTTTATGACACTCATAGTCAGTCAAAATTGTGACAGTGGTATTTGCTTGCATGTGTACATCGATCGAACTTGTTCTTCTTTTTAATCAATCGTAAGTTTTCATTAATCAAAGTTCTTTTTTTTTTTTTTTAGTGTGAAGGAATGTTTTTTTATGTTCAATATTTATGTGACCTTATATGAGTAGACAAGGAGAAATAAAATCAAACGAACATGTCTTTTTATGAGTACTTCTTGAAGGCAAAACTTCATTAATAATTATTTCTATTTATAATTCAAGTATTTGTCTGTTTACAATAACACCTGTGTACATAGCTTGACTATTTTTCTTTTTTTTGTTGTTTCTTCTTTTTTCTTGCAATCAAGCGTTGTCCCTTGATGGTAATGTCTTTACCATACTGTCGCTTTTTTTTATTTCGACTGCAGCATCATTCGTTGCCTTGTATGCGTTTCTTTTTTTTGCAATACGAATAAAAAAAACAATAATCGTGTCTCTCATATATATATATATAACGACAAGCGTATGCTCCTTAATCACACATCATTATTATTGACGACATCGACGGCTAGTTATTATTACAAAGAATCATTAAATTTCAAGATATATTGGTTAAATCAATAACAACAACAACAAGAAAAATAAGAAGATTTGTAAATACATGTAAGCAGACACATCATTCACTTTGAATTATATGTCGACATCTCTGCCTGCCATTCTTTTTAATCCTCTTTACCTTCTTTTAGTCGTTACCATTTATTCTTGCTGAGATGATGGATGATGATGTGCTGTCTATTATTGTTGTTGTTTTTACTGTTATTACTAGTCTTAGATAACGATAAATCGAACGCGAATATTTATGTTTCTCTTTCTCTTTTTATATCTCATCTAGAACAATAAATAGAAAGAGAAAAAAAAAAGGAATACGTACGGAATGTTAACTATGCGTACATCAGATGATCGCCCACCTTTTTCACTAGATTTTGAGACACCCCCACTTGTATATTATTCATCTAAAGAAAAACGACACAGCGAGAGAGAAAGAGAGAGAGAACAAAATTATACATCTATAAAAAAAGACGTAAGATTACTTTTTTTTTTTATAAGTATTTACTCATACGTTTTATTTATATTAGTAATACATTTTTTCTTTTTTTTTAGCTTAGGTAGTCTTTTTTTTATTGATATTAATGCCAACCAAAAAAAAAAATGAAAGAAATTTCTAGTTAAATAACTGTTATTACAGAATACCATGATTTCCCTCTTTTTTTTTTTTGATCTCAATGGATATGCTCACTTGAAAAAAAAACGAAATTCCATATGAATAATCATTTATGACTTCTATTCTATGTAACCAACATCATATATATATATATCTCCTTTCCTTATCTCAATACAAAATACTCGTGTTATTGTAAGTTTAATTTAAAGAATTGGCTCTGCTTTTTTTCTTTTTTTTTTTTTTTTAGTTTTATTTATTTTAGAATATGTCAAATATTTCTAGTGATTAGAATAGTCTAGTGAACTTTCTTGTATTATTTATTTTTCGCTTTCTTATCTGTAACTACAAGCATATACATACATATGGTTTCATAGTTGAATATTGTAAAGAGTTAATAACATTGACAATTCAATCAATGTTATAGATTGAAACCATATACATTTGAACTTTAATCACTATATTAAATGGAAATGTTTCGTGTAAATTATAGAGTCATATATGTCTAAAGAAAAATTAACAGGAAAAACATATATGTCAAAACTAAATATTATGTTAAGTGATTTAGAGTTTTCTTTTTTTTTAATCTTTCTATTGATTGATAGGAAGATTTGTATGGAAATTGAAGTAGAATGTAAAGTATTACTTCCATTTGCTTCAAGTGAAAAAAAGAAAGAATCGACCATTTTTGCATAAGGCTTTATTCTTTTGTATTCAATCTAAGATATTATTTTTATCTGTTCTTAAAATGTTCAAAAGTTTTCGATTTAAAACGAAAAAAAAGAAAAGAAAGATTCGCTTAAAGTAATTGACATAACCTTGATAGTTAAGTGTCTTTGAAAGTCAATTGATCTCCAAGGTAATAATGCATTTTGAACAAAAAAAAAGGATTGTGAATAAAATCTCTCATTTTGTTCGCATTATTCACATTTTTCATCTTCTCTTCCTTCGTCTTTCTATTTACGGTGCATATTCCTTTCTTTCTTGTTTGTTCTATATTCCACACACATATACTCTCTCTTTTCTCTCTCTCTCTCTCTCTCTCTCTCTCTCTCTCTCTCTCTCTCTCTATTTCAGGTCGACCTTAACTGGAGCGGCTTAATGGTGTCGACAAACAAGCCAACAATACTGATGATGTTCCTCATCACCATCACTCATACTAGTCGTTATTTATATCACCAATATTTTCCCTTTTCATCATTCATCCATTACTAGTGAATAAGACTATGTACATAAGATTTGAGCAGTAATGCTCATCGGGCGTTTTCTGCTCATTATTACTGTGCTTTTGACATTCATTTTGGCTGCTATTACAACAAATCTAACAAATACTAATCATCCATTACAATCATCGACAGTTACTATTGAAAAATCTGAAGACAAATCTCACTTATTTGTTATACCAATTCCATTATCATCATCAGCAGCTAAACAAAATGAATGTCAAGAGCCATGTTCTATGGACTATTGTTTAAAATATAAATCACTTAATAAAGTGTGTACTAGATTGATACGTGATCAATGTGATTGTTGTACAGTATGTCTTCGTACTGAAAATGAAATATGTGGTGGTCATCTTAATGTTTATGGTTTATGTGAACAAGATTTATTATGTTATAAATCTAATAAAACTTCAAATAGTCTTACTGAACAAACTGGTATATGTGTTAAAGGTAAGAAAAAAATAAATAAATAAAACTTTTTAATATTTTGTTAATATATTATCTTCGTTTTTTTTTCTTGTTTAGCATGTTTGAAATTTCAATGTTTACTTGTTAACATCAATAATAAAACATCATGTGAATGTGCAAATCGGCGTGTACCATGTAATACAAATTATCTTCAAAATACAAATAATGATAATAAGACCAATCATTATTGTAAACAACAATCACTATCTCAACAAGAACAAGAATTAAGCTTATTGAAGACAAATGATGGTAAGCTTAACTCAATCATTTTCCAGTAATTTATCATCATATCGATCATGTCTTTTGATTGATCATCATCATCATCATTTATATATTCATGGATTTTTCTTTTCGCCACATTAGCACACATAGTTCTTTCTCCTTTTTTTTCTAATCGAATAGCATCGATAAGCATTATTAGAGTTAGGTAGTAGTTAAAGTAAACATGACATGTTTATCCTTGAATTGGTTGGATGAATCGTTTGTGTATGTGTGTAACGAACTATTTATTCATCTATTCTGATTGACAAACAAAAAAGGTCAAACATCTGTCTCTATCACCATTATATCGACAGAAATTATTATCGATTAATTGAACAACTGACGGATATAAATATATTCTACTGTCTTGTTTTGAAATAACAAATAGAGCTTATTGTTGATATTTCTGCAATTGATTTTAGTAGAGAAGAAAGGTCATCAATGTCAAGTAAAGCTAATCACTTATCAGATTTTGTTAATTCAATAAACGTGTATAGTTTGAATGACTAGACAAAATAACGAAGAAACAAGAAAAAAACATATGGCATTGATCAAAACCGGCATGTTTGACTATGACCTTTCTATAGTTAACTGTGTATACATATGTCGAATTGTTTTAATACAACATTAAGATTATTTCAACAAAATATAATGTGAACAGAGGATATAAATCATGTTGATGTTATTTTCTATATTGATATCTGTTATAAAACAGAACTGATTGTTACTTCTTTTCTATGACGATTTATATGAATGTATAAGTAAATCATCTGAGAACTGTATCACTCTTCTCTTTTGTTCTTTTTTGCTTGAAGCATAATGTAAGATAAGCTGTAAAAATAAACATACACATAACAGTCGCACATTTATCTTGAACTCTGTCTTGAGTATATGATATAAAAAAAGAAAAGAAAAGAAAAGAAAACGAAATTCTTTTCCTGTGGGATTTGATATCGTCATTGTTTCTTTTGACCTATTCTGAAATAATGATTACATCATTATTTGCTTTTTTCGTTTGACAAAAAAAAACATAAACCAGGACACTTTTATTTATATTTAAAACGTTGGCATACAATAAATCACTTTATGCCATATTGAATTTTGATAAAGATTTGTAGCTTTACCAGCCCGCCAATCACCATAATTAACATCAATACTCCAACTTAAGAAAAGTTCTGATCTTGGTGGTTCATCTGGATCACTTTCACTAGGTCGAAAACCAAAACTTCTTCCAGGTTCTAAATACCATAGAACATTTTCAATTTCTTCAGGAGCATCAACTGCTGTATTGTGATAAAGTACATATTTTGGACCAACAGCAGCAATACTAAGGATAGATGAGTTTTCATTTTGTAGTGCTCCAACAACAACACGATTACTATTACATTGATTTGCTATATCTTTTAATTCTTTACTTGTTGTATTATGATTATAAGGTTTATTGTAAAGTAATATCCAATCATCGAATATAGTTATATTTTCATAAATACCCATAAAAAGTTCGCTCGGTGCTAAAGGTTTATTAGATGTTAATTCATTTAAACGTGCTTCCATATCAGCTAATTTTGATAGTAAAATTTTTGTTTGTGCATCGAACAATTTTTCCATAGTAGATGTAATTTCATCTATTGATGGACATGTTGGTGGTGGTGGTGGTGGTGTTGTTGTTGGTTTTGGTCCAATCATTTGACTACAAATACCATGAAACATCATGGTAATGAGAAGGACAAGTAAAGGAAAAACAGTCATTGAGTATTTCTGTCTTTTTTTTTCTTAATAGAATCAATCGATTTTATGTTATCACTTTTATTATATAGTTATTTATATCGAGGATTTAGAAATGATGATATTGCTAAATTGAAAATTTAAGCACATAGAGCTATACCATATCATGATTACTTTGGTTTTTTTCTCTTTGGTTCGATATTTTGTTATAAATCATCTACAATTTCTTTTAATATTGAATGTAAATTTAATTTGATTGATTCAAAGTGTTAAACAGGTCTTTTTACTCTCTATTAGTTTTATAGAATATGAGACATGTTAACTTAAAAATAAGATTAATTAAATATCTGAATAAATTTCTTTGTTAAATGTTATTTAGTTTTTTTTTCTGTATTACAAAACATAGCTTTATGTTATTTGTAATTTTTAATTTAAAAATTCTACTCGAAAATCACTAACAGAGAAGGGTAAATTGAAATGAACTTAAATTAAATTTGCAATCAATTTTAGTTTGAAGGATATTTTCTATTGATGAATATTCACAAAAATATTTAAATATTAAATATCAATAAACATTGTCATATTTAATATAGATTCATATCGAGATATCGGATTGAGAGGAACATCAATTGAATTATTGAATTATTCAGGTTAAACAATAGGACACTGATTAGTATAATGAATATTAATAAAGTCTCTAGTTGTAGTAACAAGAATAAAACAATCATATTTCGATAGATATCCATAGGATGCAATTTAATTGTTAATCATATACGATCAATGTCATCATCTGGAGATAAAAATTTGAAATTTTTTTTTAGATTCGTTTACAATTTGAATATTTTTCTTATCAAAATCAAATGATAGTTGTTCAATTGAGAAATAGTTAACTGAATATCGATTTGAAATGAAAAACAAAGCTAATAAAATATCATTGATTGTGAAGAAATTGAAAAATGATATTTTAAAAAAATAATCATTGAAGGATTTAGTGATTGTTTTTTTTAAAATTGTTATTATTCAAAATAGATATTCAATTATCTCTTATTGTTTTTTTCTCTTGATTTAGTTAATGATATAATTGATTGTTCAAACATTGTTTGTAACACTATACCTAGCAATTCATCAATATGTCCATCCGATAGCCAGTTTATTGAAGATCATACTCCTCTTTTACGAACAGCATTATCTTCATCAACAAATCTTTCATTATTATGTTGTAAACCTCGAGGTCAATGTGTCTGTTCAACATGTCCAAAAACAATATGTGGAGAAAATTCAATTATACAAATATATCGTATAGGCAATCGAGATATTCCTGGACAATGTTGTGATCAATTTAAATGCTTTCAGAGTAGGTGAGACAAAAGGGAATGGAGATAACATTAATCGAAAAAAAATTCTTTATTTTTTTTATATTAAATCTAGACTCAAAACAATGTCATCATGATAAAAAAATCTATAATGAAAATGAAACATGGTCTATTGATCATTGTACAACATGTACTTGTCATGCTGGACTTGTTGAATGTGCTATGATACAATGTCCGACTTATACACATTGTGGATATATGTATAAACCAGAAAATGAATGTTGTCCTATATGTGGAGGTTAGTTATTCAGTTAATTGTTTGTAGAAGTTTTTCGATAATTTTTCACTACATAAACAAATATATATATAGGCTTCTAGAGAAAGATTTTCTCTAGCTAAAAGATAGTATGTATTATCAAGTTCTTAATATATCGCTCACGATAGAATGCAGCGAAAATGGCGCCACTTTCGCCGCAATGAAAGTTTTGCCATCTATTGACATGTCAACGGTAGAGAGTAGAACTTGATATTGCATACATATATCTTGTTTCATAGTCAAAATATTATAGTCATCTTGTTTTTGCGGTGGTTTAAATAGGTTGTTTAAATGATCGTTCTCATGTTCAACATATGAATTCAACTTGGATGGAATCAAATGGTTGTATGCGATGTTGGTGTGAAGATGGTCGATCACGTTGTATTGCCGAAGGATGTATAGCTCCACCTTGTGAAAATCCTCGTCAAATAGAAAATGTTTGTTGTCCCGTATGTGATGTTTCTGAAGATGATATTGATTATTCTCATGAAATTGATACAAGTATATCTCCACAAATACAACAAACAACTGATAAATGTCCTAAACTTGATAAATGCTTATTAGTATGTGAACATGGTTTAACTAAAGATGAACAAGGCTGTTTACAATGTGCTTGTTCAACCATGTTATGTCCATCACCATTATGTACACTTAAATTTGATCGATCATCAAAACAATATTGTTCATGTACATCACCAAATGGTCTTAATTGTGGACAATTAAATTGTGATAAACATTGTCCATATAATTATTCAATTGATAAAGAAACTGGTTGTCCAACATGTGAATGTAATCCATGTCCATTATTAATTTGTACAAAAAATTGTACTTATGGTTTAAAACGAAATGAAGTTGGTTGTCCAATATGTGTTTGTGAAAGTAATATTAAAACATATAATAATAATAATAATACAAAAACTATTGATCTTCTAAAACCTTTATGGCCAAAATTATGTTATTCAGGTTCATTTTCTTATTCAAATGGTGAAATATGGTTTGATGGTTGTCGTCAATGTTTATGTCTTAAAGGTGAACAATTTTGTGCACTTATATCATGTCCAACTCCTAAATGTTCACAACCAATTCGTTTACCAAATCGATGTTGTCCTTCATGTCCTGGTTAGATTTTCTTTTTTCTTTTTTTGTTTTGTTTTTATCTATTTTATTTTGTTTTTAAAGAAATTCCAATGTTACCTGAACCTATTCCATCATCTCAAGTATGTTATGCCAGTCAATATGTTACTGGTGAAGAACTTGAATTTGATACATGTACAAAATGTGTATGTTTGCATAATATTGCATTTTGCAGTGTACCATTATGTCCTCCATTACGTTGTTCATTACCAATATATGATTCATCATTATGTTGTCCAATATGTCCACCAGAAAAATCAGACTCATTACCATCAAATCATATATCAAATATAGATGAAGATATTTGTATACTTGATAATGGAGTTATAAAACATGCAGGAGAATTATGGAAACATGATGATTGTCAATCATGTCTTTGTCCACGTGGTAATAATGGAAAAATTGAATGTTTTTCACAAACATGTGATCAAAATTTACCATGTTCAAATCCAGTACTTAAAAAAGGTCAATGTTGTCCATTTTGTCTTCCACCAACAGCTGCTGTTGCTGTTTGTATTTTTAACTATGTTCAATATCGTTCGGGTGAACATTGGAATGTTAGTTTATACACTAAATGAAAAAAAACAAAATTTCTTCTTAAAATATTATTTTATTTTAAATTTTACTTCTTAGGTAAGCGAATGTCATCGTTGTGAATGTTTATATGGTACAATTGTATGTCATCAACATAAATGTCCTTCATTGACTTGTGTACATACGGTTACATTATCGGGTCATTGCTGTCCTATTTGCCGTGATCAATTACCTTTTATTTATGATCAAGGCAAACGTATGTATTTACAATAAAATTTAAGCACTACTGGATAAATCGAGTCATATTAAGATCTAATTTTTGTTTAATGAAACATAATCTAAAAGGAGTATTGAAGTATATAGGATAGAAATTTGTTCTTCTCTTCCTCGCTCACACACTCTGACAGATGCCTTAGTAATACTCTCTTCTCCTCATCACAGATTTCCGAAGCTTTAAATCGCCTCTTCAGAAGAGAAAGTCTAGATAAAACGCTAGCATGAGTGTCGAGTGTGGATATAAATCTTCTTTCAATCCTACAACCATAGCCTTCTCTTTCAATTCTTTTTTTTCATTCATTCGAAAAAATAATTTTTTTATTTGACTGTTTTTTTTCGTATTTTAGTTCCTATATCTCAATCACGTTTAGGTTTGACAATCGTTATTATATTTTCCATATTAATCCTTATTCTTATTTTTGTTATATTAATTCTTATTTTCATATTATTACATGGACGACATAGATCTCTATCATCTTCTAATCAATTAACAACAATTCATCATTGTTCACCTACAAATTCTCATCATTCAACTATGATTAATTCTAGACCATCATCAAATATATTTTCGTATGTTAAATATGATTTAATGTCAACATTAAATGATAATCATAATGACGATAATAATAATAATAATAATAATAATAATCATAATAATCATAATCATAATCATAATCATAATCATAATCATAATCATAATAATACAAAACAAATTTTATCATCATCAAGAAATATTCCATTACAATCACTTGAACAAACATCAACACATTCAATGATTGAAACGAATACAACAACAATAGGTACGAGTTCATCAAATAATGAACTTGAACCAGTTACATGGACTGAAGATGATGCTATATTACAATGTAGTGTATGCAGTAGTAACGATGATGATGATGACGAAGCAGAAGAACATGAAATAATTAGTAGTGACAATGATGAATCTCATCAACAACAATTGTCTCATCCTCAAATTCATATGATTACTGGTCCTCCTACTATTATCTATGTTTAATTCCTTTTTATTTTCCTATAAACAAGAAAAAGAGAGTAATCAACCTACGACTAGAGATGATGATTTTTGTATATAGAATCTCTTTTTTTTTTCTCAGATAGAAGTGGCCATTTTCTTTTTATTTCTTTGTTTGTATTATAGAGGTTGATGAATGATGTATACGGTGTGTATGTGTTTGTGTTTGTAAGCATTCTGTGGCAGCTTTTCTAACATTTATACACTCACACATTAAAAATAAATATAAAATTGAAATTTTTTCTTATTTATTTTAAAATTTAAATTAAGAATATGATATAGATTGATAGATAAATTTTTATTATCGACGACATTTTTTTTTATCAATAGTATATGTTTAAAATGTTTGGTAAAGAAAAATTCAAACGAATTTCTTGATGATAAATAGGAACATAGACGGAGAGACTTACACCCTGCAATAATTGAAAATTATTCATTATTGTCCAATAAAACTAGCAAGCTCTGTGAGACATTTTCTCATACATGTTACATCTAGTCTTAGCATCCACGGATAATAGATACTAAAAGAATTAGTACAAGTTGCATCAAAAACAGATTTCTAATTAACTTATATAATTACATAGATAACTTGTATGAGTAAGCTACCATAACGAACGAGTATAGCGAGAAAAATAGACGTATGAAGAAAAAAATTACCAAGCACGATAATAAGATATTATACAATAAATTTAAGATAACAATCTTTAGGTACTGTATTAGCATTCATTATTCTTTTTAATAAGTTTATAGATATAATGAAAGAAAAAAACAATATATATATATATATATATATTCTTATTTGGAATATGAAATGGTTTTTTTTTTAAGTATCTTTTTTGTTGTTGTATATATGGTATGATACTCGAATGTAGCTTTTTTTGTTTTGAAAAATGTAAAGAATAACTGCATGTTGTTTATCGTTGTTTTACCTTAAAAGATGTTGATAGTCGAACAGAAGAAATAGTAAGATTGATAACAATGAGTTGCAGTTAATCAAAACAAAAACAACAACAAGAGATCAGATAAAATAATCACGATATTCTAAAAAGCATGCTTATTGACAGAAGAGTATGCTGTTAAGGTTATATTATCTAGATGAAAATGTTGTTGTCAATCAATTTAGTTATTAATTCTTCGATCAATGTCGTATTTTCACTCTATATGAGTTTATTTCTTTTCTCAAAATGAGTTCTAAAAAAAGTTTGCGATTTCGTACAAATATAAACATAATTCGGAATAAAAAGTAGTGAATGAAATAAAACATATTTCGGTATAAATTATCTTGTATAAAGAAATTTACTATTTATTTTTATGTTTAATTAACGATCAAATGATTTAAAGAACATGACATTATCATATTTTAGAAACTAAAATGACAACAATCATGAACACTATTGATAAAATCTTTTCAATAGTTTATCAATACTTTGATCAATATCGTACGAGTATTTCCATTTTAATTGTACTAGGTGGTAGACGTTTTTTTTCTTCTTCTTCAATATTCACATAAATTTTCTTACTTATCAATATCTGTTTAGTAATCATTTCATGGATTTATAATACATTTCGAATTAATCGATCATTCTTTTCAAGTAATTACTCGATGAATGGCAAAACTATTCTTATTACTGGTGGTGCTAGTGGTATTGGATATGAAACAGCTAAAGATCTGCTTCAACGAGGTTGATATCAAAATATATTTTTGAATGAAATATTTATTTAAGTTTTATATAGGTGCACGTATAATACTTGTTGATTATAATATAGAAAAAGGTAATCAAGCAGTAAAACAACTTAGTTTTGAAATTGGATATAATGAAAAAAATATTCGATTTATGGAATGTGATTTACGTTCTTTTGAATCTGTTAGAAAATTTGCTAAACTTTATATTGAAGAAGAAGAACGACTTGATGTATTAATTTGTAATGCTGGTATTGCTTGGGCACCAAATTTTCTTACTAAAAATGGTTTTAATACAGTTATACAAGTAAATTATCTAAGTCATTTTTTACTAACAAATCTTCTTTTGGATAAATTAAAACAATGTCGACCAAGTCGAATTGTTTATGTTGCATCTGGTTCACATAGAAGTAAGTTAATATGTTCGAAATAATTATCTATTTATCAAATGAATAAACTAATTGAAAAAAAAATAGTTATGTCACAACTTCCAAATGTAATATTGAGATATAGAACTTGTTTTTTATATAAGATTTCTTTAGATAATTATTGCTAAAACATTTAAAATGAAATTTATATTTGTCTAGCTGTTCGATCGATTGATTGGTCAGATGCTTTTACACAATTTAAGAATTTTCGTTTATGGGGTGCTTATCCAGTATCAAAAGCATTTATATTATTATTTACCTATAAACTCAAACATGATCTATATTCAAGTACATTAATATATATATATATTTTTCTAATTCTTTTTCTATATGTATGTTTATATATGTATGTAATAGATGATGTTGATGTTTTTGCAGTTAATCCTAGTTGGGTATGGACATCAATTCATTCACCAATGCGAGAAGCTATTGGATTTATTCCATTTATTATTTGTTTTCCGATATTATATATGTTTAAATTTATCTTAGCTAAAACACCGAAAACAGGTGCACGAACAAGTATTTTTTGTGCTGTTGAACCATCTCTACAACATTCTCATGAATTCTATTTTGAGTAAGAATTGAATTAGATATACTGATTAGATTGGTTCATTTGAAACTTTGTAGAGATTGTGCTGTTGAGACAGTTTCATCTTTATGTACAAATCATTCATTGGCTAATCAATTATGGAACTTAAGTTGTCAAGCAGTTAGAATGTAAATACAGTTTCATATATATCCGATGCATTGAAGTTTTATTTTTAAATTAAATTTAATATGAATTATATATTAAAATAAATAGAATTATTAATTTTTTATTTTTATTTTTATTTAACCTAATAAACTATTTGTTGTATAAATATATTTTAGAATGAAAAATGTGACATGTATCGCGCGCCTAAAAATAGTACAATAAAATTATTATCAATTTTATATTAAAAATATTTTGACTATGAGTTAAAATAGAGTTACTAAAAACCTAAATAAAGAGGCAAGAAAAATAATTTTTTTATTATTGAACTATTGTAAGAACATCCACATGATCTCAATTAGGAGTAAATAAATCGAATGGAAATTGTATAAACTAATTTTTTTTTCTATGCATTAGATGTTTTGATATGACTCAACCATCATGATTGTATATTAATGATACATTTGCTGATCAATTATTGAAATTATCTTGTAAACCAGTTGAACGTTTTATATTTGAATAATTTAGTTCGTTTTGGTTTATAATATTTTTTTATTTTGTACTTTTAATTCGTAATTCTGATTGAAGTTTGATTTATTATTTACTAAAGTATTACAAAAAGCTGTTAGCGCAATTCCTTCGCGATTTAGATGGGAAATACGATGCGGTTGATATTGCGAATTACAAGGAGTTTATTTTATTCAATCTATTTTAGGTCACATTTCTTCACTATCATTTTACTTATCCTTCTAGAAATACAATAAGGAATTAGTTTATATATTATAACGAAATATTATTGATATACGATCTGTAATTGTATATCAAGAATGTTCATCATGGTCTATAATAACTCATTGCTAAGAAGACTGTCATGTCGGTGAGGACGTGGCGTCGAAGTGTCTCTCCATATACTTCAACACTCCTTTTAGATCGTGTTTCATAAAATAATAAATACTTTTCTGTATTCTTTTAAAAAATATTTGATATTTATTATTAAACAGAGGATATTACAATAATTATCTTAAAGTAAGAACAGACTTCATAAGTTGAATGATTATTGTTATTTGAATATAAAGATAATAAGTTGAAAAAAAAATAGAAAATAATATTCATTTAAATAAGTCTGTATTATTCTGCATTGAATATGATCAATCAACTAGATTCAACAACATGAGTGCTATGAGTAAAATCTTTTTCGTACAGTATTGATAACAAAAAAAAGGGAGAACAGCACACTCGAATCGTATTATTAGAAATGAATATAAATACCAAAGAACGAAAAATGACACCAAAACAAATATAAAAACTAATGCCTACATTCGTATGAATATCTAGTTATGTACTGTTGTTCGATGACTACCATTACACATAAATAAACATATTTCAGAATTTTTATCAAATGATTTCAAAAAAAAATACATTATCTCAAACTTTTTGTAAAACTCTTAAACATTTAATAAAACATAAATAGTGTTTTTTTTAAAATTTATTCTTTAATATATTTCGAAATAAATTTACAAAATTGATGCCTGATTAAATAAATATAAAATCATAATTATTCAAAATTTATCGTGGTTGAGTGACTAAAGCACCTGTAGCTGGCACTGTTGTTTTTGGTTGATTCCCGGGAAGACCACCAATCACCGCTGTTGGTGGATTACCTATTATCAATAAATAGAACATATATCTATATAACCATTTTATTTATATTTAACCTCGAATTTTGATTTCACGTGCTTCTTGACAAATACCACAAGGTGAACAAAACCATGATGCATATAAGTCACTAGCTGCTCCATGACCTTCTTCTAATCCATATGCTTCACGAAAACGTCTTCGTGCTGGTCTGTGTACAAGACAACAACAGCCTCCTTCTGTCAAACAATAAAAACAACAGGCACCACAAAAACTAGCATCTGGATTAGCTGTTCGAACATTTTCACCAAATAGACAAGCAGTACAAAAACAACCATAACAACATATATTCATATCCGAACAACAGCCGAAAATTTCCTCTAAAATTTAAATGATTTATATTATAT